AACTTTCAAACTACAAATGGTGTAAAAAAGGACTATTATAATGTAAGCATAATATTTTATGTAAATAGTTTTTGGTGTTTTTTTTTTTATTTTACTGGTCCCTAACCAGTACTTTAAAACCAAAATTAAATGGCAAGTATGTTTTTGAAGCAGCAGTCCCCATCTTTCATCAGTCACGCCAATCAGCATCATAGGAGTTAATTCTTAACTTTGTATCAGTCATTAATATCCTCTGTCTCTGGAAAAAAAAATACTTTGTAAGTCAATGGCCATTTTAAATCAAAGAGGGGAGGTCTAAAATGAGTGCACCAATGGTTAAGATACAACTATTCTATCCTTTTACCAAATTCAACTTTTTTTTTTTCAGTCTATGCTTTTGTACATTGTTTTATTGACCCATTCAGACAACAGTGACCCTTTACGCTAGTCAGGGAAATTATCAAAAATTATCAGAAATTATCAGAAATTATCCTGAAAGGTTTTTAGACTCTCTCATGAATTATTCTAATTTGCAAAAATAAGCTATAAGGACTTCAGAAAGCGTTCCTCACTGTATGAATACAAATACCTAGAACCATTTCTAATGCTTTGTAAGACACAGCTTTCACGTTTGGCTCCAATTCTCTGGGTCTTCATTATTACCCCTGGGCTATTTTAGCTCTAGGTAGCTAATACTTCAGATATACATTTAGCATGTGGGGGGTTTTTTTGGGTTTTTTTTTTTTTTTGAGACAATAGTTATTATGGTCTTCGTGTGAGAAAATATATAAACATGAGAAAACCCTACAGAAACTAACATCACGAAGTCAAACAAATCCCCAAGTAACCTTCCTCTGATGGCACAAAGATGCTAAACCCAAATTGAGCAGATGCATTGCTCGCGGGGCCTCTGAAGTGCCCGCACATTCCATCGGTAGAGTTATGCTGCCACCTATTGTGAAGATGAATTTAAGAGACTCATTTCATTTTGCTAGGCGACACGTTTGTAAGAATTACGTCTTCCTTTCTTTTTTTTTTTTTTTTAAATTAACAATACTTTCTTCCTAAATACCTGCTACTGATCATTGCTGGAGACAGGGTGCAGGCATAGGTGAACTTTTGGCCTGTCCAAATACAGCTGTTCATACATTTCAATCTCATCTAACTCCAATATACAGCAGCAACGTACAGAACTTGCCGCTCTGCAGCTGTTAGCCCAAAGGCTGGATCAAAACTAGAACCCTGTTTCTCTACCTGGATTAGCAGCCGAGGCAGACACCAGCCACGGGGAGAGAGGCAGCACGCTCTCCCTGCAACAACACCTGGAGATGTGCGTCTCCTCCTTCCCTTGCTGGAGCAGCATAGGACTGTATGTTCATACCTGGATCCTGTCCACGTAACTGAGACAGCACTCGAGCCCTAGTATAACCTCAGGACTACGCCTTTAGGACACCCCTTCTTCTTCCTTGCAAGCACAAGCGCAGTCCACGTACTCTTTATAGATGCTGTGCCTCATTCTAGCAGCCCTGAGCAGGAAGCACCGTTGCCCAAAGCTGCTTTTTTTGTCTGTGCAGAATTTAGGCAACCTGATTTCAGGAGAGCAGCTGCAGGAGGTCCAGGTCAGCACATTTCTGGAGGCAGCCATGAGCAAACCTGAAACAAATTACAATGGCTCTTCCATCTCTCTACAACTAGAGTAGCTTGGCACTGGTCTGTGAACCTTTCTGCACTTTTACTTTCCACCTACCCTGGCACATGCCCTCTGTTCCTTCACCTCTTCAGTAGCATCAGCTAAGTCAAGATCTGGGCACTAGGTCATCACTGCCATCCTAAGGTTGCTTAGCTGAGAAAATGAGGCCATCTGTTCACTCATAAGCAAGCAGTGCGCATCATCGCACTCCCTTATGCTCTCATCTTTCCAATCCTGTCCGTGCCTGCCTCATCCTTCCTTTTTTCTTCCAGCTCTAGCAGCCAAATGGTTTATACCAACAGGAGGTTCCCACCCGCAGCAGCACTGCGGCAGGCAGTACAAACCAGGAGGGGGGCAGTACCGGAGTCACTCCCGGACAACCTGGAGAGCTGCTGCTTGGGATTCCCAGCCAGGGGGATTTTCTCATTTATCCTTAGGGCATTCAACTGTTTCTGAGCCACTTGGTGGGAAAGGGAATCTCTTTCTTGAGCTGCAGTTTTAGCTGAACGCGATTGCCTGGATACTAGTGGTGTGGCCAAAGAGGACAGCCAGGAAACGGTATTGTTAGGTCTCCTGCAAAACAAGCATCAGAAGAAAGAAGCATTTTATACTGTTTGCTGTGCCAGAGGGTACGCGTTTTTCAATTTTTGAGTTGATAGATCCAACCATGATCTATTAAAGTCAGGGTTGCTCGCAGCATGGAGGCAAATGAGAGTATCAGCAACTCAGATGGCACAGTAAGCAGCAGATTTCATTTTCAGAGTAATATGGTAATTCACAAATTCCTTGGACAGGTGGATGCGCTCCCTTGTGTCCAAGGAGGGGACACAAGAGACACTTGCAGAAATGGAAGCTGTGTGCTGATGTCTGCACCACCCTTGGGTTCAACACCCCCTGCCGACCGTTACACGAGTTGCCCGAAGAGAAGAGGTTGGGTTCGCTGGCAACTTCGAGCCTTCTCATCATGTTAGTTGGCTTCTCAGAAGCAGGTTGTTCTGGGGAGTAAGCTGGGACAAAGATCTAAGACAGTCTGTGGTCCTCAACTTTGTAGATAAGCTGCTGCTAAGCAGCACGAATCAGCAGCACTGCCTGTACAGCAAAGTGAGGTGACAGAGTAATTGGCAGCCTTCTCTTCCTCGGTACTACCCGAGCACGTTTGGGTACCACATTCCTATCAGACACTTCAGCTGTCATCTGCACATTTCTAAGCTTCTTCCCTACTCCTGGCAACTCCTGTTGTCCTTCCATCTATTTTAGCAGATGGAAGAAAGAGCTCAATTTCCTGTTACTGCATGACTAGCACACACAACGTTTGCACGGCAGTCAAAAAAAGCACGTTTAAACTGGGTTTTAGCCCAAATCCGGAAGCCATCGGAACATAGCACAGGCTTACCTGTTCTGAAAGAGCTCAGGTCAAAGTCCTGGGTCTGTTGCACCAGGTCATCCTCTTTCTCCCAAGAGATCTAGCTATCTTAAAGAAGTTTAAATCAAGAGCCACTATCCTGACTTCAAATACAAGACCAACCTTACCTTAAGTCAAATACTCTCAGCTTTGTCTTAAGTGACAGATTCCAACCAAAACGATAGCTTGCCAAAACCTTCCGCGATCCCACCCCTATACCCAGAGGCAGAACATCACACTTATTTCATCGTTCTCAGTGATAAAGGACCGCACTTGCACACAGGTACTTTTTTTTTTTCTTTTTTTTATTGCTGTTAATTCAAGGAAAAAGGTTGCATAAAATCCAATCTCTTCTAGAAATATAAGTGACCTTTCCAGTACATTTCAAATATCAAAGTATATGGTAAACATACAAATAAAGAGAAGGTAACATACCTCCTATTTACAGTACAGTATTTTAAATCATAAAATAAGTTCCATAAAGTACAACTGGCAGGTAATTCACAATACAAGTCCATTGGTGGTTTAACACCCTCACTTCAACTCAAACGCAGTTCATTCATTTCAAGTGGTCCAAAAATACCCAGATCAAATAAAAATTTTAATCAAAATAATTTTCATTTACTACTTAAACTTTTTTTTTTTTTTAAATTAAAGCTTTCATCTACCTCCCTCCCCATTCCCCCCCTCCAAGAAAAAAGTTTCAAAATGTACACTGGTGCTATAAATATAAATGCTACCTATGAAGAAATGTAGTAATCAAGCTTTTTTTCTTCAAGTTTTTTGTTTGTTTAGCAATTTATTAGACGGCTGAACCAAAGACTGATTTTATTTCATCCCTCTACCGGACACCAGGTCTGATTTAAAAAAAAAAAAAACATTTCTGCCATGAACTGTGAGGAATGCCAAACCCTATGGATATACAGTGGTAGTTGTTAATCGGCGTTGAATGCAGCAGTCAAAAAATACAACTCATCTTCCAGATAACCTCAGTGCACTTTAGGAAATCAAATATTACCTGGAAGCAATTTAGTACATATATTGGCTTTTAAAAATAAAATAAAAAATACAGCAGCATTAAACTTACTTACTCATGATACTGACATGATTAATACCATCTTAACACTCATTTCAGTCTTTCACATTATACCGTAATTACGCATAGTGGTAAATTGTTATAAAATAGTGACTTTGCTATTTGGTAGACAGGTTCTAATACTAATACCTGACTATTTTGTAGAAAACCATAGCTTTTGTTCAGTTTGAAATAAAACATTTACATTCTAAGTACAATGCAACACTGTAATAGTTTAGGAAAAAAATATTCAGTCAAGTAATGTTCATTCTGTGTTGACACGATGTAGAATAGCTTTAAAAAAGGAAAAAATGCTGTCAACTTTCATTACAAATGCAAACACACTGATTACAACATTCATACCATTTTTTTCACCTTTGTTGCTGAACATACAGGCTAAAAAGCTACAATGGGAGAAAAATCTGTCAATTTAAGCTCGTTCATTTTTCTAAATCTGTTCCAGTCCACACAGTTTCAGCCTCTTCCTGCTCTGTGTATTCTCATTTATTTGGGACTCTCAAGAGCTGTGTGTATGTATTATCATCAGATACAGTACACATGTATAGTATTGTGTGTTCCTTTGGACTCTCCTAATAGGACGTTTGAGCATCTCCCCTCAATTCATGAGCATTAATTTAAGGTACGGGCAGGGTCTGTATGAACTGCTAAACACTCATGCAAGTCCAACGAAGCCACGTGGACAAACAGGGAAAGAAAATAAAACAGCAGCATAAGGAGAACAGGGAGGGAGGGAAGAAGGTTGTGGTAGGGAACATGACCAAGTTTCTTCTTTCACCATATGGCTGCTCCACCAGTGATGTCAGAGGTCAGAGGACTTTTTTAAAAAAAAAAAAAAAATGCAGTAAACATTGCACATGTCTCAAGTCTTCAGTGCAAAAGCATGGTTCGAATGCTCTTTTTGATTGTTTGGCTGTGTGTTTGAATTACATGCATTACGCAAGCCTTTTGTAGAACCAGGAGGAGACCAGGGACTCAGCTTTCTTCTTTTGTACGGAACAGAGGTGCAAAAGCAATGAAAAACTCCAAAAGAATATAGAACCGGGAATGTCCCAAAACACCAGACCAACCCCCGCCCCTCCCACACACACCTTCCCCCAATTTCCCAAGCTTCAGTTTAAGTAGGCAATGTTTACTTGTTTCAGTCTGCAGAATCCAAGGTATCATTGGAAGGGGGAGGGGGAGGTGCGTATCTCAGTCTGTAAGTGCCTAAAACAGGAAAGAGAACTACTAAGTCACTGCTGACAATTAAAATGGATTACAAAACCACTACAAGGTATCAAAATGGACATGCTCTTCAAAAGGCACTATCATCCTCCAGTCCTTTTTAAAGTAGGTCCTAAGATTTTATACTATTTTCTTTCATCCGCTTGCCAAAACTGTTAAGTTTAAAAGAAGATATAGACCGTAGGACTTTACCTTTACTGGGAAAATGCAAAGAAAAGACGACCCCCATCAAGGTTCATCTTTCCTGTTCCAGTCCAACCAAACGAGTCAAGTCAGAATGGGCACAGGCGAAGATTCAAAAATAGTTTATGCTCTATGCAAACACTGCATTTTCCCCATTCTTCTGGATGGAGAGAGAAATGGCATATAAGACTGAAGCCATTCCTTTGATTTTTAGTTCCAATTGGTTTCTGCCTTTTTGCTGTAACTTGTCTGAAAAGTTAAAGCACGTTTCATTTATGTATTGCATGACGGAGCACAGAAGGATGGCTGATTGTGCAAAGGTAAGCTTTAGAAAAGTTAAATTATCAAATGGCCAGTCTGTTGGGTTTTTTTTTAAATTCTCCTAAGTTTTAAGAATCCAAGTTCACATCACAGACAGTAATCGATACCTTTTGCTTTTTGCCAACGAATTCTCTCCAAAAAACCACTGAACAGGAATGGAAAAATTGAAACAACATGCAAGTCTCAACATAATGCCAAAAACAAACCAGTGAAAAAAGAATGACAATTTAGGACTGATATACTTTGACTGCCCAGCTCCGAATCACACCCATTTTCAACTTCACACTGTGAACCCCGTTCCCTTGCACTGTTCTACAAAATTTTCAGGCAGAGATAAGATACTTTGCAGTTTTAGAGCAGGTCACTAGTGCACAACCATTTACACAAAACATACACACGCACGCACACCTTTCTGCAAGACCAGAAACAGCACATTCAGAAAGGTAAAGAGAAACTGCTAAACTCAAAAGCAAGTCCGCTGGGAGTTATCATGATTACCTTGTTGACTGGCCTCCATGGATGACTGCTTACAGTCCTGCGCATAGTGTCCACTTACACCACAATTGTAACATGAAACGTTCCCATTCTTCTTGGGTCCCGACCCATTTGTGTTGGCAACTACGTTAGGTGCTGGATATACAGGATAGAACCTCCCAAATCCTGCCATCTGCTGCATACCATAGTTGGCTTGGCTCCCCATCACTGGGTCATGCATAAGCCCGTTTGCATATGGAGACTGATGCAGGAAGAAAGGAAGTTGCGTTCCATTGCTTTGATGTGCTTGATTGAGGTAGCTGCCATTGCAAAGTGATGGCAGAGGGAAGTAAGATGGAACTCTGTAGACTTGTCCATGAAGTGGGTTATGATAAAAATAGCTATTAATCTGAAGGCTTCCATTGGTCCCACAGCTACACCTACGTCCGCAAGAACCGCAAGGACCAGATCCCAACTGCTGCGGAGGTAACATTGTCCCATTAGTGTTATTATTTCCAACAGCGTTTATGTAGGATGTGCTGTCACTCTGTGCAGTGCTGTGTGTTAAAGCAGGGCTTGGGCTAGGGGCAGGGCCTGGCGTATGGGTAGGTATTGCAGGAGGAACAGTGGACTGGACCTGACCAACACCTAAACCAGCTGACTGAGGTGGTGAGGAAGTTGCTACAGTGTTTAGCACGTTTGTATTCTGGTTGGGCAACACACTGGTAGCATGAGGACTGCCTGGCAAAGCGTATGAAGCTGGTGGAGGTGGCGGTGCTGCTGTAGAGAGACCAGCTGCTGGAAGAACTACCTTTAGATTGGTAGGCTGAGGGATTGCTCCTGGGTTTCCCTCAATGTGAGGCACCATTTGATTCAGTCCTACCACCTGGGATGCAGGTTTTGTGATGGGATCTGTAGTAGGAACTGGGGATCCTGGGAAACTACCTGGATTGTGGACTGGGATAAAGGCAGTATTTGGTGATCCGATACTTAAGTTTCCTGTCGGCTGCTGCTGTCCATTAACTGTGCAACTTTCCGATGATCCCTGTGGAGAGGGCATTTTCAATCTATGTATTGCCAAATGCAAAGCAGGGCTACCAGGCTGGACAGAATGCGGAAGGAATGTGGATGGGACTGGCAAAGGGGAAGCCATCAGCTCGAGGCGTTTCTCAGGTTCACCAGAGGTCACTGGGCCCATTCCACCAGGAGGGGAATTTGCAGACTCTCTCACTGGCGAGACAGCAACAGGCGTGGTAACAAGCATTCCCACCGCTTTACCATCTGCAGATATGGGTGGCGGGACAACTGCTTCAGGCTTTTGGGCAGCGCTGTGCATCACACAGTGTAAGGCAGGCATGAAGGAAATATGTTGAAACTTTGCATTCAAAGGATCTTCTGAAAGGCTTCCATTTTCATTATTCACTGAAGAGATCTGAGCAGATGATTTGTTCATATTTGATGAACTGACACCACTGTAGCCTGTAAACCTGGTTGTATTTTGATTCCCAGAGTCCTCAGAATTGCTGTCTGTGTCTGTGGAGACAAAAGCATTTGTCAGTCAGAAGCACAAATCTGAAACAATATAAAGGCATGCCCTGCACTCATTTACCCATATAAAACTTCCTAAGTTTGATGACACAAATGATAGTTATGTCTTCCCGAACCAGAATAACTTTGAGATTATTTCAATTCATCCAAATCAAACTAGGTCAATCTCCATCATTTGCTCATATCAAACTGCCCAACTAGCTACTGTGTCTTTGACTTGTGAAGAGTAGGACACAGATTGAATTAGGAATTTGCACCTACTTAGACATTAACACAGCTTACTTAAATTTGGAAGGAGTGGCAAATTAAACTGTCAATACAAAAATAAGGACCTCTCAGACATGCCACACATAATTCCATAAAAACCCAGTCCCTTTCATGCCCAAGTTTTTCCCATTACTGTACTGCTGAAATTTCTCAAGAGATCTATGCCACTGAGGTCAGAAAATTACTACATGTGTCTAGCAATCTAAAACTCAACGGTATTTAAACAGTCCTGCTATTTGCTACAAGCCTTCAAACCATCCAGCCACAAAACCCACAAAGCAAAATGTGTTCTGTGGCTAATTCAGAAATAAAAGCAGCCAATAAAACTGAGAAACTAATGAATATTAAGACAAAAAAGAGATTAGTCTAGGAATAAAGACGTTCATGCGCACTCTCCATAAATACAACCTCTGTCTTTTTCTTCTTCACTATCAAAGCTTTCCCTCCCATCATGTCGTGGACTAGAAGGAGAACTGTAACTTTCAGATGATGTTTCTCCACATGTATCATGACCAGATCCAGCGTCCAAATTCAGATCTAAAAATAAAAATTCGCATTTTTATTTTTAATCTCAGTATATGGAAGTGAGGTTGTTTCGGTTTGCTCACATGTCATGCTAGTTCAGATTTTCGTTTGTTCCAACTTAATTGCATCTGTCCCCTGTATTCCTAACGTTCCCCTTCCAGCATTCAGGACTAGTCTTGTCCCTAAATTTGTGATGACTGAATCCTCGGTATTAAAGGTTGTGACATTGAAATTTGGTATTTATGCAGAGTAGTGAAAAGAATGATCAATCTCAATAAATTTTGTAACGCTTATAACAAATTGTACTACAATAATAATTTCTTCTGAATGGCAGTGATCAAACGTTTCCATTCAAAGAGATGCGACATTCCTTGGTCATACCAGCAAAGGCAGAAAGCTAACTCAGCGGGTAACATCAAAACAATGCATCTTTTCACAATTAACTCTTCCAGAACAGCCTTTAAGCAAACTGTATCAACAAAACCTGTTCAAAGAAAAAGAGGCGAACTAAAAAAGTGTAAAATTGTCTTCTAAATTCCACATGAGATCAGGGGAAACCTATTTGCTGGAAACCAGCTTTCAGGGTAGGTTCAGATCCTGTTAGCGACTTCAAGTAGATAGCTAGTATGCTCTGGCTTTCAAGTTCAGCCTCAGAGGTGAAGAAGCAAGACAGACCCATGTTCTCTGAGAATGTATGCCAGACACTAGCTTCAAGGGAACACTAACCCCCAACACCTTGGCTGGCAAAACTCCAGGACAAAAATTAGAACACTATTATTTATTTTATTCATTCTAATAAATTATTATTTTATTAATTTATTATTGCTATTGCAAGTGTAACAGGTTGGGATAAGTCATCAAAAAGTTGCTTCAATGCTTCGATTCTTGAAATAATTTCCTGGATTAAACCTGTAATTGGTCGAATTATTTTAACAAGTGTTTTGAATACCTAATATAACCCCGGAGCAGCAGTGTCAAGCTCCCATCACTGAAAGCCAGAGTCTGAAGTGCTAGTCACAAAGTATCAGCTCTTCAAAGTTAGAAGTGTAACTAACTGATGACTCAGAAAAGCTAAAAATAGGGAGTGAAAAATGGAAAAAAACCACAATGCATTTAAGAGTTACCAACTCAAAATAAAGCATTTCAAACCCTGCCTGATTATATAAAGCTAGGCATAGATTCAGGCTCTGAAACATGACATTTTTTCTTTAGACTATGTCTCCAACAGGGTATCTCAAAAGACATTTTGATGTTGGTATACAAACGCATAGGTGGAAAGCTCATCTCCTAGGAGGAGTTAATTGCTTCCAGCCTCTGCAGTTTCTTCTTGGAGTGGCCTTAACTAGCCAACAGTATCAGACAGGCAGTTTGACATCTGCAGAGTAGTGGGTAGGGAGCAGACAGAACTCCTAAAGCAATGCTTAGGCAAAGCTACGTAACATTGCACTACGTCACACAAAATTGTACCACCTCTTAAAGTTATCATCAGTTCATAAAAGCTCAGTGCATTTCACCTGACAACAAGAACAGTAATTGGTCAGAAATGTATGCAGCAAAGCTGTCCCACAGAGTATGTTTTCTGCTCATATACCCCCTAGCTATATATAGGTACTTTCTAAAATTGTCCTGGTTTTACTAAGTTTGTGAACTGTGAATTCTTAAAGTTTTAGTCAAATACTGTTTGTAGAAGTGTCGTGGTTTAATCCCAGCCAGTAACTAAGCACCAGGCAGCCACTTGCTCACCCCTACCCCTTCCCAGTGGATGGGGAGGAGAACAGGGAAAAAAACCCCAACCCTCGTGAGTTGAGATAAAGACAGTTTAATAGGATAACAGAGAAATAATAATAGTGATGCACAAATGCATTTGCTCATCACCTGCAGGGAAACCCCCCCCCCCCCAAC